TATATATATAAAGTGTGGTACGTTACTAATCGGGACACCGAAATCAGAGAAATTAAACACAGCTGAATTGTCTACTTGCTGTTTTGCTACCGCGTCACCCCTCAAACAAGTGCCAATCAGCAGTAGACGAATATCATCAATATACTTTCACAGAACAATAAATAGAAGTATCCCTTCATTTCTTACTATGTGCCAGATATGTACCTATGGCCTTCATAGTGGATTAAAATCAAATTAAAAAGGGTCAAACTGATTCAATTTCGTATTAAACGGACGGAATATTTTTTAAGAATAGGAGTATGTGATAAAATTAATTAAATTGATACTTATTTTACTTCATTTTACATGAGAAAGTGGGAACATAATTTGAATCAAGGTGATATGAAATAATAAATGGACTATTCTAATGTGAAGTGGAATAAAAATAGTCTGGACAAATAAATAATACATGAATAAGAGCAAACATCACGGAATATTATTATGAATGAAATTGAATATAAGCAAATTAGAAAAAAAATAATATAAAATGTGCAAATGGGAACATAATTTTGAATACTTATTTATTTGTCCAGACTAATTGTACTGCACTTGAAAATAGTGCATTTATTATTTCATGTAACTTTGATCCAAAATGTTGTTCCGACTTTCACATTTTATATTCTAATCTTTCTAATTTGCTTAAATTATAATTTTTAATATTCTGAAATAAATTATATTTTATTTATAATTTGGAAATTATTTCTTGTAGAACTGAAGATGGCCGCAATGTTGCCAAAAAAAGGTTTCTGCAAGAATAAATACATACGACAAAACTACGCTCCAAATTTATTATTATGTATTTCGTTTTATATCAGATAGTGGATTAACCTCAGTTATATTCACGTGCTACGGAAGATGCACTTTCCCCCTTTTCTAAACGATTTAAGATTTAATTTTGTTTCTATTGTCAACACATTATGTTTTCATTGTCTATTAGAAGATGCCATACCTATAGGATGTACAATAAGAACACAAAATACAATCAAATCACAACAGAAACTTAATCAAATTTCTTTAACCTGCAAATAAAGGTTTGTGGTTATTCAGTTAAATGATCGTACTGTCTGTGTGTGCTACCGTCGCGCTTAAAGGCGGTGGGTTTTCTGCCAACAATAAATATTCCCAGTGAGTGACAGCTGTTAAGCATTTACGATCAGTTGTTTGACAATGTATCGTTAGTTCTCTTGCACTTAAAGGAGATCAAAAGCGATTTTCTTCTAATAATAGACATTCCGACTTCTTAAGCATATATTGTACGATTCTCTAAGTTCACTGGAGTCAGACTACAGTACAGATATTTTATCATTGTCAATCATATCGAGGCTCATTCGCAATATTCACTATTTCAAAAGAAAATGAATACGTTTAGTATACGGAACCAACTAAAAAAATAAATATTCAGAGAAAACATGAGTTCAGAAATTTGACGATTCGGATTATTGACGTTCGGATAATCGAGGTCCCACTGTACTACAATATTTTAAAACAAAATGTATCTTACCTGTCGAATCTGTAGCTTTCCCCATCTCTACTTCCAATTTGCTCTCCAATAAAGAACGACTCGAACTGTGAACATTGGAGAGACGATTCTGAATATTAGCCTCTTTGGTCAATGCATCGATACGTGCTTGCAATGCTCTTTCGGTACTTGTTTGTTCTTCCAAACGAGCTGCAAGTTCCTGCTTTTCTTGTTCCAAGCGTTCACATGATTCACGTCTCTGTTCTTCTGTTTCCTACAATATATACACCCACACACATTAATAAATAAATTTAAGATTATAAACAAGTTTCTACTCTATTAATTTCTTGGAGTGAAAAAATCACTTTGGAACGAATGTACTACTGTTTCACGCTTATTCGAGGGAAATCAGCTATCGTTTTACTCGGTTTCAGCCTAAGGAATACATAAAATACTCTTTCCGTTTGAAAAAGCTCACTCGTACATGACGAGTGATCTAGTCTTGCGGCGACATTTTACTTGTGTATTTCGAGCCAGTTCGATGCCTTCTGGATGGCAGCTGGAGCATGTCGAGAGATAGGCGCGAATACTGCAGCTTCCTCTTAAAGATATTAATTGCACACGTGAATGTGATATTGAATTAAGTGACGAATACCTCAGTATTTGCAAATTGTGTGTACTTCGGTATTTTTAATTATGATTGCGAAAAGAGTATTTTACAGCTAAGAACATAGTTACTATCTGCGAGGTATGTCATTGTTTTGGGAAGATATTTCTTGAGTTTTGTTGGAATGAAATAATAGACTGGATGCTTGACAAATATACGATTGATAGACATTATAATTATCAAATAAAAAGGTTAGTATAGTAGTAGATTGCGAATACTAATTACTTTGAAGTTTAGGTGTGTGTGTGTACAGAAAATTGGAAAAGGGAAAGATAAAAACAAAATTAGACAATATACCACAAAAACCCCGACAATCATTTTGAATATATTATATATATTCATATATATATATATATATATATATATTTATATAATATATTATATATATATATACATATATATTATACATATATAATATTATATATATATATATTATTATAATATATATATATATCATATATATATATAACATATATATAGTATTATATATACATATATATATATATATATAATATATACATATATATATATACATATATATATTTATATACATATATATACAATTATATATACATATATATGTCACCGCTCGCATCTCTAATTTCACGTCGAATAAGCTGGCTAGCTTCTTCGCTTCTGTGAAGAATGTGACAAAAGAGTTATGTAACATTGTTACAGAGAAATTGAAAGAAGTTATTCAGTGAACAGCAGTTTTCACAGTTTAATGATTACGCACAAAACTTGGCAGGATTTTTGATCTATATCGTAAATAATTCCTAATCAAAGAAGTTCTAGGGATTAAAAAACTAACATTTTCCAAGGTCAAATGCCAAAAGAAACGGTTTCTCACACCCATAATGCACAGGATGAACTTCAACATTCTCATACATTTTTGCTGGCTTGGCGATTCTCGATATTATCCCACCTCTCCGAAATGTGAAGAATCGGCAACGAAATGTACACGAGAACGGAAAAAAGAGGGACACAGAAGAGGAGCGTGAAGAGACGAAGATAGACAGAGGAGAGAGGAAGACGGTCGGCGGACGACGTAGGAGACGGTCGGACGCGGACGGAGGTACGGACGGACGGACGGAGGAGACGACGTGAACGGAGGACGGAGAACGGACGGACGAGGACGGACGGACGGAGGAGACGGACGTGACGGAGGGAGAGGTCGACAGGAGGGAGGGAGACGGGACGGACGGAGGGAGACGGACGACGGAGGGAGACGACGGACGGAGGGAGACGGACGAGAGGGAGACGTCGGCCAGAGGGAGGAGACGGACGGAACGGGAGGGAGGGAGACGGACGGACGGAGGGAGGAGACGGACGGACGGGAGGGAGACGGACGGACGGAGAAGACGACGGACGGAGGGAGAACGGACGACGGAGACAAGACGACGGACGGAGGGAGAGACGCGACGGAGGAGACGGACAGACGGAAGGGGAGACGGACGGACGGAGAAAGGACGGACGTACGGAGGGAGACGTGACGACGGAGGGAGACGGACAGACGGAGGGAACAGACGGAGGCAGCGGAAGGAGGAGACGGACAGACGGGAGGGAGAACGGACAGAACGGAGGGAGTAGGACAGACGGAGGAGACGACAGACACGACGGGGGAGGACGACCGGAGGGAGACGGACGGACGGAGGGAGACGACGCGACGGAGGGAGACGGACGGACGGAGGGAGACGGACGGAGGGAGGGAGGACGGACGGAGGGAAGGAGACGGGGACGGAGGGAGGGAGACGGACGGAGGGAGGGAACGACGGAAGGGAGGAGAGGAGAGGGAACGGACGGAGGGAGGGAGGACGGACGGAGGAGGGACGCGGACGGAGGGAGTGACGGACGGACGGACGCGAGGGAGACGAAGGAGGGAGACGGAGTGGAGGGAGACGGTCGGAGGGAGACGGGGAGGAGACGGAGGGAGGGAGATCGGAGGAGGGAGACGGACGGACGGACGGAGGAGCGAAGGGAGGGAAACGGGGGGAGGGAGACGGACGGACGGAGGGGGAGACGGACGGACGGAGGGGGGAGACGGACACGAGGGGAGACTGACGGACGGGGGGGAGACGGACGGACGGAGGGGGGATGGTGACGGACGGACGGAGGGGAGCGGACGACGGAGGGGAACGGACGGCGGAGGGAGAGGACGGACGGAGCGGGGGAGGGCGGAGGACGAGCTGGAGACGGGACGGAGGGGGGAGAACGGACGGAGACGGAGGGGGGGAGACGGACGGACGGAGGGGGGGAGACGGACGGACGGAGGGGAGTCACATACAGTTATTACTAATTTTTCTGACTAAAAAATCTAAAAGCCAAGGGTGCTGAAATGTCTTCGCAAAAAAAGATTAGACGATAGTTACAAAAAGCTTTGATAATCACTTTGGCAAGGTCAAGACGTGTTTAATTATAAGGTACAAAATTAAGTTAGAAAAAGGAAAATTACAATTATCATTTTTCCAAATAGATTTTAGGCGGTCATCAAAGAAGGTAACATAAGAGAAAATACAAGGAGATATTGTCAAATATTAAAAAAAGACTTTGAAATAAAGATGAATTCTACAGTCGACACTTTATGTTGCTGATAATTTCATAACAAATTACAAGGCATTTGATTTTGATTAGCATTAGTTAAAGGAGTAAATAACGAATATTTCCTAAAAAAATATATTATCAACACAATACCCTGAGATCACCTCAGTACACGTATGCAAACGCCCAAAAACTTCGATAAAAATTAGAGCTCGCCACTCCATTAAATTGAATAATAAATGATAGGGACAATAATTAGGCAACGTACTGAGAAATATAAATGGGATTATATTTATATTAGCTAAAAGACGAATTGTCACAGTTAATTATATTAGGGAGCTGAAAATTAAACTGTCTAAACGGCACGCCTAAAGCGAGGCAAAAATCTAGTTGATTTTATCACAACGAACAGAAGAATTGTAACTATGGTAAATATTTACCGATTATTTGTGTGTTTTCTAAGCGCAATCAGTTGACTATTGAACTTGATTACATATTTTGCAACTAAAAAGTTAGGATTTCTGACACTGATTAATGCATTAATGAGAGTGCCTCCTCAAGCGGCGCGGGCAAGGACAGCCCATGGGGCAGGTCAGACGGTGTGACGACATGGACCCTGTTGCACACGCCGAAACGAAGAGGACAAAATTGCTCATGTGCTTCCAAACGTCGTAGTTCTTGTTGAAGTTCAGTAACAGGAAAACCCGTTTTGTTTCTCTACAAATATGATAAATGCAGCTAAAGAATGAATAAAGAAATCAGTCACAGCAGTGCGGTATTTGTGCGTGCATTTTAAAAGTGGCTATTTGTATGATTTTAACATAAAATTGTCCATACTTGTTTTACTGGTGCCGATACTGTTCTTGCATCTAAAAATAACTTTTTTCACTAAGCCACTGACTTCTATTTTTTTGATATGACCTTATATACTTATATACACACATTATATGTGTGTGATATAAAAATGTTGAAATACTCTTGACAGTTCTATCAGTGTATATTTACAAAACTTCAACAAAATTGCACATCTGGAGTCCCGACTGCTACTACGATGGGATTCGTAGTTTCTCACTTCATAGCGCCACGTGGCACCTCAAACTTTAAAATCCAAGACAGAAAACGGAAGTGTACTGTTTCGTACTACAATGTCATTTTCAACAAGTCTTGGGGAAACTTTGAACGACAATTAGAACGATTAGAAGTTCTTGCATTTTCATCGACGGCAGGTGTGCGAACGTGTGCGGAGGTTTACTCTTTTCGCCAAGTATTCCACCTAAAAATTGCAGAGTATTTCTAACCATCAAATAGGCAAAGCATTTAACACTTTATTCACAAGTACAAGAATAGTCATTGAAATATAAAATAGTGGTGCAACAGAATGGCACAGACTTTCCCGTATTCTTATTCTATTTCCACTGGTCTCGGCTAGCTTTTCGGACTTGCCACATACTATTGTCAGCTGCCATCTATCGCCGCCCAAAATACATTTTTTTAAAATATTTTCTTAATTTTTCGGCTTCCTAATAGTAGAATACAATTATTCCTTTAAAAATTTTTAAAAATAGTAAAACTTCGTCCTAAATGGCAATTTGCACTAAAAATGTTGAGGCCGTTTTTAATAAAAATAGCATACAAACACTACTGTAAATTTGAACCTCTTTTCACAGAAGTTTTCGAAAAACTTCATGTCATTTCATAGCCTATGTCATCTTAAACAAAGCACTATACGTTCGGAAACGTTGAAAAACAAATTTGGAGCTTTTTTTTAGAGAATTACGTGTTTTTGAGTGTTTCTGAAAATATGGAATTTTGAACTAATTTTAACAGAAAACGGTTGAATTACCGAGAAACTTACCCGACATTATTTAAAGCACATGTACACGTAATGTGTGTACATAAATACTTTAATGTACAGAAATTGCCGCTAATGTAAATAAAAAAGACATGATACAAATTTACATTTTTTTAATTTTTGACGAAAAAAATAATAGGGAAATACGGCGTGAACGTCATTTCGTAGAGTGCATTGAGCACAATCCCAATCAATAGTTTAAAGAAAATAATTGGAGCCATTTGAGAAAATCTTGTTTTTGATTTTTTTAATGTACAAATTGCACGCAATATTGCGCGAAAACTTCTAAACTTTTAAAAAATGTGACCTTAATGAAAGAAATTATGGACAACAAATTTTATTTGAAGGAAAAATCTCTATCTTAAATTTTGTAATTGTACGAAGTGCGCGAAACAATTCAAACTTTTGAAATTTTCGAATATTCAGAGTTAACCGTGAAAATCGTACCTAAGCCACCTGTAGGTGCATATCACTATTCTTAAATGAAATTTAAAGAAGAAATTTGGAGCCATTTTTGAGAAAACTATCAAAATGTCGCAGAGACTTCATGTAAAGTACCCTCAAAAACTAATCAACGATTTTCAAAATCGCTTAGCATCGACTCAGGCCAAAGGGCAATAGTCCTACGCATGGTTTAGGCACTGGTGTCGTTCACATATATCAGACGGACGGACGTTTAGAAAAAAGAAAAACTTTTTCGGTATCAGGAGACCCCCAAAAAGTGTATTTTCATTGAAATCTCGACATTGGTTTACGTATATACGGACGTATATGGGAAAGTAAAAATTTTATCTCTGTCTATAAAGCAAGAGTGCCCTAACTTGCACCGCCTTAAGGGCCACAACGAAAACATTTATTATGGTTGGGAGCCATATTTTCATTACTTGGGCGATCCACACCCGACTCCTCCCCCTATTGTCGATGTCGGCACTTTGCCCGGCTGCTTCGAAACCGGCGGGGGGGGGAGGGGGGGGACGAGGATGGGATCCATAGGCAATATCAGAATTTTGAATTTCTTAGTTTACTAGAAAAAAATCCTGAAATTTAAACTTTACCTACTTTTACATTAAGGGGTGTTGTCCCGGCAGGGGACGTGTGTCCGTCGTACAATATTCGCGCTCGATATGGAAAAAAGATACTTTAATTTTGACTAATAACCTTTCGCGGGCCACAATAAATGGCACCGCGAGCCGCCAGTTGGACGGCCCTGAAAAACAGCGCAAAGTAGAGCAAAAATGATTTAGCGTGAGGGCACTGACCATTAGTTTATGAGAAAGATCTTCAATTCTCTGCAACTGCTGACTGTACTTTTGAGCTAGATCACTCAGATCTTGTTGACTCTGCTCTCTTATCTCTTTCAAATGTGCACATTCGTCTTCTGTGTTGCTCAATGTGCTGGAAAAAGTGCAATGATTAACACACTTAATTTAAAATATACTAAATGGAATTTTTGATCTAATTACCTTACCGTTCTAAATCATTTAATCTTTGTACCGCATCAATTTTTTCTTGAAGAAGTTTTCTCAATGATTCTTTGGCAGTTCCTTGATATAGACTCTTGTCTTCTTGTAATTTTCGTAATTCATCTCTCAATTTATCCTCAGCAAAATTCTACAACAAGATATAAAGAAAATTCCTTAGCGTAAAGAACATCTCACACAATTACATACTGAAATAAAATTAACTAAATTAGGTACAACTAGTGACTAGCAGCAGCAAAAATACTGCTGAACAAAACCACATAAATTAGTTTTCTCAAAAGTTGCAGACACGCTACTCAACAAAAATAAAATACAAATAACACTACAATAAATTATTTTAACAAAAGAAGTCTTCACAAATACAGCAATAACACAGTATACTTTCAGTACAATAGTTCTTTACGAGCTAAGAATGAAAAACTAGATGCTGTGTCATAAGGCAACATATCAATACAAAATATTTAATGACAAAAGGTCTCTTTTGAGTCGTAAACAGTGACGCGCTGAGGAAGAGAATGCAGTCCTTAAGCACCATTTGAGAATAGACGGAATAACACAAATATTTGCATTGTACAGTTAAAATTCGAACTGTTCCATGGCTTTTGATTTTTCCCGGGTTCCTGGGTATCTCACGAAAACGCACCTGGCACCTGCAGATTTCTTTCATTTTCTACTCGCATTGGAAGTAATAAGACCAACAGATTACTTAGTCCAATAGTAAGACAATGTACATCATTTGCAACTAGTCAAATCGAATGCAGACAGAGCCGCGGTATGGCCCTTATATTCAGGATTCAAGATTCACGGTCCTAGCAGTTCATGAAAGTAACATTTTTAATTAGTTCAAAAGTACATTGGTGTGAACCTGAGCGACTCACCCCTTGATATCGCTAGAGCTGGCGCAGGAAGGTTGGTATCGCGCTTGGCGCCCACATTAAAATAAATTTACTCAAAGAACACTCACGTGCCTCGACACATTCTGGGACCCCGCTGGATTCATTACGCACTAGTCATCGGAGTATTCCGACGGGGGGTTCGTCACAATATATATATATATATATATATATATATATATATATATATATATATATATATATATATATATATATATATATAATCAATACGCGTAAAATCTATTAAAAACAAAATATTTGTTTAGTTTAACAAAGCCACTTTTGTGAAATACCACCAATATTAAGTTTTTGGTGTTTTTTTACCATCTGTATTCGAAGAGTGCCGTCTTTACTTTTAGAGAACAAGTCACGTGCACCCTCATATTTCCCACTGTGCATCAGTCACCGAAAGGAATAGCTTAAGCCCCTTACCTTATCGCAAGTATACAAGTATTCAACTATTGGCGTGGCATACGGTATTCTGAGTCAGTCGGTGACATGTGAAACTGTACCCGCAGTGCGCGTGAAGTTCGTGTCTGGTTTGCGTGTGCCTCAAATACATTATTACATTACAGTTCTGTGAATTTTATAAAATGAAATTCGCCACATGATCTGATTAGAAATGAGTTGGTTCTATAAAATGCACATCGTCATTTCCACTGAAAGTGGACGAATTAACCCTATTACTTCTGTCACGTTTGTGGAGGATTAACACTCACACTTGAAAGCGAAAAACATATGAAATTACAAAACGTCTTCGTATTCTTTATACTTTGTCATGTTTATGATAGGACAAACCATGGGATGCTCATCGACGTTGAGTCACCTGTCCAACGAACCTTAGATTGCGGTTGTAGGGAAAACTCAAATTATTGTCATTCGCTCTAGCAATGTTGTGGAGAATACCAACAAACCATTTTCACGTCTGCATATTATTGGACAAATATAAGTATTTCATTTTTAACTTGTTCTTACCTGATAGCATGCTCATAATATTGCATAATAATATAACCTGAGTGACAATGAGGAAAGCAATATAGGACTTTGCTTATTTCAAATAATAAATATGTTCATATCTTTTGAACCTTGCAAAACACACTTTTTATGACACTCGAAATCAGCCTGATCGTTTCGTTTGAAATCACCTACTTCCATCCTGGAAGTATAAAAAAATTGTTTTGTTCCCTAGTGTTTTTCCCAAAAATCATGTTTAAAAGTTTTTGCGCAATTTTTTCGTTCAGGAAAATAAAATTACACTTAAATTTAACTTAAAGTTTGACCTGTCATACGATGTAAATTTAACTAACACTCATGTATTTACACACCAATGTTGTACATATCTGACAAATTTCGAAGAGGGACGTCAATGACAGGACACATTGTGTCGTCCAACATAAAGTAACGGTGAGACTTATGTCATGTTATGAATCGCAGAAACTCACATATGGAAATCTTCTGACAAAACGCGACTATTACGTTTATTAATAAACAACTGACACTGCTAGGGTCCGCGAAACTTGTGTTGTTTCGTGAAGTTAGTAAACACAGATAGTAATACAATAATATCAATACTTGCATTTCAATCATATTAATTGTTTATTTAGTTGTTGTAATTTGCATTTTCTTTATATGAAAATATAGTTGCAGAAGAAGTGTACCTTTAGGTTGCTACAATCAGCGTTCTTGAGAAGTTTAAAATTGTTTACTGCCAAAAAAAGCTTTGTGTATTGGAAAAATCGGTTTTCAATATTCCTTCTCGTGACGAGTAAAGTGAGTTTTTTTTTTAAGAAAGTGAGAATCGACCTTTCTCGTTTTTGCCACAAATATGTTGGGCAGTGACAATGATGAATAAACGTGCACAGCTGGTTCTGGCCACCCTAAAGAATCACCTGATACGAGTAATAAAGAAACTGACAGTACGATCGACTTCTGTTTCTTTCGCTTCTGCCTCTTCGTTTGCCGTCTTCTGCTCTCATGAGATAAAAATAAATTTTACGTTACGAGTTTTCATTGTCCAATGTGATATTTTTTTAAGAAAATTCTTTCGTACTTGAAGATGTTATTCATGAAGTAATGTCTTAGCTACTCTGCATTCTTTTGTGCTACACTTCAGAGATAGCAAACAATTTAAAAACAAAAATTTAAAAAAAAAAAAAAATTGTGAATATCTGAAAAGCGACACGAATTCAATTCACTCTTCTCAATGTAAACTTTTAACATTTCTCAAGTAAGGTGCCTAGTATTACAAAACAATGAGAGTTTATGCTTCTACAAAGATAACTTCCATGTGAGTTCTGAATGATATTTCTTCGCTTTGCAACGTTTTGTGAAACGGGATTATGCGACGTAGGAGGAAGGGTGGCAACTATAATATTCTCGATAAAAGCTAGGCGTCGATCCTGACAGGAACCTATTAATTTAATCTGGAATTTGTTTAAATGGGTTGATGATAATGTGAAGAACATTACCTTTATAATTTAGCAACGCTGAACAATACAAGAGGACTATTTCATCAATAATATAATAAAAAACAGTAGAAGGCACAAAGAAAAAACAGAGTTATGAAAAGGTGAATTAACGATATTCACCGTAAAGTAAAGTAAAAGAAATATCGTTATAATTAACTGTATCAAATTCTCTTATTAGCGTAAATATTCCGCCAGTTTAATACTAAATTGAATCCGATTGACAAATTTTAATTTTAATTTAACCGGTTATGAAGATCATATGTATGTATATTGCACTAAGGTGCGTAGGAATACTTCTATTCATTGCTTTGTGAAAATATATTGATGATAATCGTCTTCCGCTGACTGGCACGTGCTTGAGGAGTGACGCTCAGCAGATGCTGCAGTAAAACATGTAGACATGTTTATTGTATATGATTTCTCAAAATCATTTCAATGTCCCAATTTGTAACTTAGCAAACTTATGTAGCACTTTCTTGAGATTTCAATGGTATTTTTTTTCAAATTTTTAAACTCGATTTTTTTGGGAGAAATTAAAAACAAAAATAAAATAGGTGACAAAAGTACTTTTAAAAAATGTTATGAATTCAATACATACATCAAATGAAAAAGCATATTTTGTTATTTAATGTCGCAAATCATTGAATTTCTGTCACAATAACGAGTTACAAATGATTAAATTTAGCGATGCGAGAATTTTTTCGAAAATTAATTTAATCACGAATAATAATATTTGGGGAAAAATTGAAACCATGTGTTTCATATTTTTACTTATACTTACTTATACCATATGTTCACAGACAAAAATGTAGCAAAATCTGAGACATCACGATGAAATGTCCCTTAAATTTGTGCGATTTGAAATGGAAATGACCCACATACATATAGGTGTGGAAAACATTATTGCAGCACTTTTCTCACATGACGTTTTTCAACTGAAATCGATGAATAAAGTATTTATTTTTAGAGAAAAATAACGATTTTACGAAAACTAGAGATTTTATATTAATAATGAATTTTAATATTAGTTTATCAAATTGTATTCATTTTTTATAATTTTAAAGAGTTATAATACTGTTTTTGAATGTATTAACACTACATAAAAGAAGTACGGTCTTAATGCAAAAATAAGTAATGTGTTTGAAAGACTGAATATTATTGTAGCAAAATACAGTTCTGCACTGCACTTTTGTAACTACAGACACTCAATTGCATAAAAAAAATGCCATTAATATTTTGTTGGCTCGCCACGTGCTTTGCTTACTGCCTGCCATCGGCATAGATCGAATTAAATTATTAATAAATTTCTTGCTCAATTCATGAAATCACACAGCTACAAGTCTCAAATAGTTCTATTATATTTCTGGTTTCTCTTTTGCCGCAGCATTCCTCTCATCACCTTCGAACAATGGGATTGAGATCAGGGTTGTTGCCACACCAGTCTAACACTTGCACCCCATTGTTTGCAGGAATGACTTCAACTAAAATGTAAAAATATATATTAATCGTTTACTTAACTTCTGCTCCCTCTACAAATAGCATTCACATGACTAACATTTACAGGTCTACGACAAGGAGGAGAAAGCAACATGAATCGTCACAAAAATGGCTCGTTATAGTGGTAATCAGCTTCCTTTCAATAATATTTTTATAAACACATCCAGAAACAGCCTTGTAAGCAATCGAGTCTACCAACTCCATGGGCAGAAATGCATCCTCAGATCATTTGTCCTTGTGGATGCTTCACAGTTTGCGTAATGCATGAAGTC